GTAACTGACTGAATGATAGTTAAGCCGGACCCTGACCGAGAACAAAAACCCCCCCAAATGAATAAAAAAAACCAACAAATAAAAATTGTGGTAGTGGCTTCGCCTTGATCTAAATAACCTCAAGAGATTCAATAATACCAGATGATTACTGGACGGTCGGTCCACCTGCCCGCCTGCCCGTTCTGATCGGCACGTTTTGGAGATTGGGGGGTTTCGTCGATCCGAGTGAGAGTGGTTATGGTTATTTCCCATGGCTGTCAGGAGCCGAATAGATACGCTTCCTGAATTGGTGTTCTATGATGTGATCTGAGGGAAATGCCGACCTCCACGTTTAGGCTTGATGCTTTGCCTATCGGTCAATCTATGTGAGGCCTACTTGTTTCTCCGCCCAGCCAGAAACAACTCGGATCCGACGGGGAAAGGGGGCCCAAGGAAATTACAACAGTCAACATTTAATCTCACGGCCTTGATTGAAGTGCAATTCGATGTACAATGGGCTTTTTATCCCGTACGTCGAGGGAAAGAATTACATAGCAAATCCTCAACAAAATCGAGAGAACTGGGTTCTTGCATTTGTATCTCCTTCCGTTGCTAATTCCCCACACATGCCGGCAAGAGTTCTATACTTGTCAATCTATACCAATATAGGCTTCCGAACCCTAACTGCCAACCCGCGATGTCTCACCAACTTCTCTCTCGTGGTCGGTCTCCGGTCTCTATCGACCAGCCCCAACACGTGAGCCCATTGAATAATCAAGTGGGCCATGGAGTAGCACGGATTGACAGCCTCGGGTAATTGAATAGCCACCAGTTTGCGCGCCGACCGCAAGAGAAAGCTAGCTACGGAGTACCTTTGCCTTACATGCAACAAACTTATCTGAATGACGATCGCACGCGACAAGCATCCCCGACCACCGGTTTTGACTCCATGTAAGCTGACTAGGAAAAGTCTTAGCTGCTCAATGCTCGTACGCGATGGAGCCACGGGTCCCTGGCTTGGTTTCCCGCGTGCCTGACTCCAAGAAATCCCCCGTAACCTGTTTATGTGCTGCAACGGAATTGGTTTCCTCCATTCTGCGGCCGTCTCCAGGTCCATCCGTTCCCTTGGGAAGAACTGTGGCTGAGGGATGGATGTTCTTTTCTCTTTTTCTCCTCTTCCGGGATATTTTACCTAATTTTTTTTCCTCAGTCAATCCCCTCAATAGCATCTCTTACTATTCTTTTCTCTATTCTAACTTTTTCTTTGCGCGGCAGCCAAAAGAGAGACAGGAGGGAAGTGCCCGCGGGTGGTTGCAAGTGAAACAAGCCTGTCAACCGCGGCAGAAGCCAAGTGAGACTTGAGGGTCGCGCGGCTGAGGTTATTTTTGGTCTGACTTACTACTACCTACTACTTATTTAGTTGTTGTACTGTACGTACCGTCGTCCACTGCTCGTCTCGAGAACAGCATGTAGCGATCCATGGTAGGTTAAGCATTCAATTCATGATTCTAATATTGAAGATCATGGATGATCTGCAAATATTTCTGAACTGGTATTGATATAGTATTTCATAGGGTAGTGCTAACTTCTTGCTAGCTCTATAGAGAGAGGGGGGGGGGGGGGGGACAGACTCCGGCGATGGTGGCTAAGTACCTATACCAACTTGGAAGTACTTGGTAGTTACCTAGTACCGGTTACCGGCTCGATCGAGAGTGGTTATGTTTCTTCTCTGCGGGTAAACTACCTTCCTAGTAGTCTTACTTTGCTACTACTACTACTATCTCTCCTCACTATGGCTATTGCAACTAGGTAGTACCTAGTGAGAAGTGAAGACTGCCACTATCATGCTTGAATTGGAGGCATGGACTCAGATGGATGAGCAGATCGGCAAGAGCATTGAGAGACAGTTCCCTTCCTGTCGAACGAACCGGTGGGATTGCTTCGGCTCAGTAAGCTCAAAGCTACCTACCCAACCCTCTCACAACGCACGCATATCCTGCGTGGGCCGTTGTCTCATCGCCATCTCCCAAGAGGAGCTTTACCCCTGAGATACTGCGTTATGCGTGCTGGCTACTAATGGGCAAAGTGGGCTGAGCCATCATCAACTCGCCAATAAAGCTTTTGCGATGATCTGGCTCATGGTCAAGTGAGGTTTAGCTACAGCACATCTCTAGAGGGCGAGGAAAGGCCTTCAACACTCCGCCACACTATAGAATCAAGAACCCAGACAACCAGGAGGCGAGGCTTGCTGCCCCTCCCCGTCTTCCTCCTCCTGGACTGCTGTTGACCCTGATCTTCCCTTCCCGTGCGCCATCGGCTGCCTGCAGGAAGGAATTCTTTATCTCACTTGTCACTGCCTTGTGCGTCGCACAGATCCCGGGCCAACACGAGCTGCCTAGGATCAGCCACTGAGTAACGGTGATTCTTGGCTTTGTACTGTACTTCTGTACTTTCCTCCCTGCCAGCTTCCCATGGGCTGATCCTGGACCCTAGCAACCCCCAGCTGCAGCCTGCAGCATGCAGCCTGCAATGACATTTTGATCCAGGGTGTGTATGTGCGCCTGTGTACAAGGATGAAAGGGACATCACGTCACTGTCCTTTGTTCTGATCAAATCTTGATCTAATTGTGATTGGGGGTAGCAGGGCGAACAAGACAATCTAGCTCCATTGCATGCCATCAGTGGCTGGAATGCGCTTCTCGGTTCTCTACCCTTGTCCCTCCTTTGCCTGTCTCATGTCTCCCTACCCAGTGTCGACCAGAACGATCATCCAATGGTGCCCTGGTTTGGCGACATCATCGTCAAGACCCCGCCATGCATAGGCCAGCTTACTGGTCGACTACCTAGTGCGAATCACATTTTCCACTGACTGGTTCGAAGTCTCTGTATGGCGCCAATATGTCTCAGTTCCGAGAGGACTATCGGACAAGGACCGTCCAAGACTAGCAGCTCTGAACTCTGAGTTGAGACACCCCTACCTACCCTTCAGGTCTATCTCAGGGGGACTGGAGAATTGGGTTGAGACTCCTGGGCTTTGGGGTCTCTAAGGGGACGGAGGGATTAGAGAAAGAGACACTATGGCGTTGCATCCTTCACATAAGGAGTATCTCCAGGGGATCCGACCGAGGCAATAGAGCTTCTTGTGTGCGGCATGGTCTCGGCGACTGCCAGTGCTTTAGTCGGCGACTGAGTATCTCCAGCCACTGCCCACAGGCGACTGCTAGCCCACACAGAGAGGAGTATTCATCTCATTGGTGCGAATGGCAGCGCACAACCAAAGCGATGTCACAGATGGAGGATTAGAGCCATGTTCGAGTGTAACTAAGCCTACCCGATGATGCTTCAGCATGTGTGCTTGCGAAAAGAGTATAAAAAAGCATTAACATACTTCAATCTCACACAACAACAGGCCTTATATCAAAGCCTTGATCTGTTACTGCGTACACATCTAGGCCGTCACAATCAACTACTTCGCCAGAACAGGCCATGTTCCCGATCAGGTGGAATAAACGAGAGCGCAACAATTTGCATAACTATACCTTCAGGTATCTACCATCAAGCCCCAACCCAAGCCCATGAGGTATATAGCAGCCTCTTCGTGACACAAAACGAAGCAAAGCCGCCAAGAGAACCCAACCCGACGATATTCCCAGTTTGTAGCATAAGGTACGGAGTACAGAGCAGTCGAACCAAGTCCAACTTAACTAACGTTAGTGTCCTTTAGTCATAGTATCTCAGGTTGACTAACTATTACCTACACGAACTATACGACAGGTTAAACGCTCGCCAAATCCACCAGTCAACTACTCACCCTTGAACCTGCTTACTCCGTACATAGTACAGTAGGGACTTACTAACCAAACCACCAAATCAAATCACGCATTACCCACCGAAAATAAAAACACCCTATACCCATACCTATAGCTAACAAGTAATTCAACAACCTAACCAAATAAAAGCTCAGAAAGAAGCCGACAACCAAGACCAAAAACGGAGCCTGCAAGTAGACTACAGAGTAAATTATAGACTAAGAGCGAAGGAAAAAGAAAAAAAGTTATATATAGTATCATATATGGGTCCCCCTTCCCTCCGAGGTCCCCTCCGTCCCCATCCTTTTTTTTTTCTTTTCCGATATCAATTCGCTACCGGCCAAACCGTTTCCCCGCCACCCACACAATACGAGCTGCTGCCCCCCTCCCCCCTCCCCCAATTTTTTTCCCGAGCCTAGGAGCTTGGGGGAAGGACAGGCACCACAGGGTTTGAAATGTGAAGTGTGTGCTTGGGTGCTTGGGTATTTATCCTGTTTGGGGAAATCGTGGGTGTGTGGTAGGTAGGTGTTGATGCTCTCGTTTACCCCGTATACATTACCAAGATTTTGCGGTGGTAGGCTGTGGGCACTTACGCTGGGATTGATTATTGTTGAATTTGAGGGGAGTGGATTCGTGACTTAGTATGAGTAGTATGGTACAGTAGGTACCTAGGTAAACTACGTAGTGTTGGGAGAGGGCGCCTGTGCCTGCCTGCCTGCCTGCCTGCCTGCCGGTGGACTTGCGCGCGGGCCGTGGAGGACCTACCGGTAAATTAAGCGACGAGACTAAATTCACCCAAGCTTGTTTCTTGCACGTTGGGGCCTTATTTTCTACCCTGGGAGTAGGAAACGGACAAGGGATGATGAATGGGATGGCTGATTCTACTGAGATAAGTTGTGAAGTGGGATGCGTGTATGAAGACACATGACATATACTGCCAGTAGTCGGTCAGCTGATCTGTCACATTGTTCCTGCACCCTACATCGATACATCCAATGATGTCTCACTTGCAGCCCTCTACACACAAATGAAGCCCTGAACCCTGAAACAAACAGCCTGTCATGCTGGGTTCATCATTATTTGCAACTGGTTTTGGCTAAATGACATTGGGGTTGGTAGGCATTAACAAAAGTAACGTGCGCCGACAGTGCAACAAAGAAGGGGGGGAAAAGGGAACCACCTCCACCACCACCACCACCACCACCGCCCCCTAGCTAATCAACAACCATCCTATCATCCAAATGGAAAACTCCCCCTCCAAGTCCCCCTCGACGTCACGCTGTGCTGGCCAAAGAGTATCCTGCGTCCGGGTTGATTGTCCATAACCAACCAAGCTGGAGCCCAATGCAGGTCCTTTGCACTGGCCGGAATTGCCAGAAACATGGCCAGTCAGCGTCACACTTGGGCCGTTTCCTCTGAGATCGACACCCCGTTGGCTGCGTGGACTAAACTGGAGAAAGACTGGGATTATTTTTTACGGGTCTTGGCCAGAAATGGGATCGCTGATAACACACCACACGCCAGTCCAGCATAGCGTCACCGGTTTTGGTAGCATGTCTCACTCAACTCGCCACGGAGCTGCAAGCTGGTGGGACTGAGGCAGAGACTTTTTCATTTCGATGCTATCTATCCGAAGATTCTTGTTCGAAGGCAGGGTCCTGCAATCAAGGAAAATCAACCTCGCGGGAGGGCTGGCTGCTAGTCAAAAGATAGTGGCGCTCTGCTCGACGGACCGGTTGTTATAGCAGAGAGGAAACAATCTGCCCCAGAATCGATACGCTCCCCGATTCACCTCCTTCACGGAGACCAACCATCGAGCGAAGCTGTTCTCAGTTCGGCTGGGATTGGTGCTCCGTAAATGAGTGACCTAAACCCCCATGTTAGAGGGGGGTGTGGCAATGGGCCAGTGGGGAGACAGCAGCTCACCCCCGCATGGGTTAGACTTACTTCATGGTATCTCTGTAGAGCATGCCAGTACCGCATCGGCAGCCCAAACCTCTTCGTAACCGTCTCCTTCTTGATCCTCACCAAGGCCTTCAAGTACAATGTGGAGAGGGTTTCACGGGGCAGGTAGATGTGGTCGCCAACGGCAACCCTGCCGGGAAACTTCCAGCCGTGGCGCTCATATATAACCTCGATGAGTCGCGTCAATGTGTCTGCCTGCCATGTCGCCAAGAGCTCGCGGTTAAATGCTTTCACGTGCAGTTCCAGGTTCATCAGATCGTGTCGGAGTCGATGGGTGTTCGTTCGTAGCTTGCCGATCTTATGAATCAGCATCTCATTGGTCGTTTCCAGGGTGCGAAGAGTCGAAGAGTATCTCTGAAGGTAGAAAGAACGGTCAGTTTCATGTTTTATCTGAGGTTTTCTCCATATCTCGAGTTCAACTGAGCTGACGAACCCTCAGTGACACCTTGGCGGTATTGCTGTCAGGTTGAGTTAAGTCTGGTGACTGGAGGTGAGACCGGTAGAAGGACATGCCAGGCCCGTATCGCAGGACAAGCTCGGCGTTCATTGTGACACTTCAGTCACAGAATGTTGGAAGAGCTAGAGACTAGAGGATCAATGAGTGGCCTTTTGGTATGAAAGATAAAGCCGTGGTGCTAACTAAGTAACGATGGCACTGTATGTACAGCTGTTGTGAAGGGCCAGGTGCTGGTAAACACACTGTCGACTGTTGACTGCGCAACGGCGCAGCAACAGCGTGTCAACACAGGGAAAGGGCGACCTGCCTGTTTGCCAGAATTTACTGCGTGGGCCTGGAAGAAGTGACCCAAGAGACGCGCGCACAGTCAACCGTTGCTACATAACTACCTCTGTGAGCTGTGTTCCTTACGACCTAGAGTATATCACTGATAGTTGGCGCTCAGCGTAACAGCTCATAGTTTGCTTCCCGACGCCTTGCCGAATTCGAAGACCAGCTTGCCGAATTGTTTGCCCTCCTTCATGTCCTGGAAAAGATCATCCAGTGCCGGAATATCGCCCAAGTCGCTTTGAACTACTCGCGAGACAACAGGATGGATCTTTTGGCTCCTCACAAACTCGACCATCTCTTTAAACTCTTTGCGCGAGCCCATCGTAGACCCACGCACCTCAATATTCTTCAGCACCGCTTGCATCAAGAAAGGCATTTTGGGCGCGACCGTCATTCCATAGACCGAGAGGATGCCGCCAGCCTGCATCAATCAGTATTCCATTCGAGCAGACAGCAACGGGGCGCAGCCCACCTTGAGTAGCTTGACAGCCTTTTCGACTGCATCGCCTCCAGCCCCGTCGATGACCGCATCGAAAGCCGCCTTTCCGGGGGGGAGCTGACCCAGCAGCTTTTTCTCCCATCCTTCCTCCTTATAATTCACACCACCCTTGGCGCCCAGCTCAACCGCCTTCTTGATCTTCTCCTCGCTCGAGCTGGTCACATACACGTCGACTCCCCTGGCCACCGCAAATCGCAGAACCATGAGAGCCACCCCACCTCCGATCCCCGTCACCAGGATGGCCGCCCCCTTGCCCGAATTTCTCTCGCCAGCCTTGACCACCAACGCCCGCCACCCGGTCAACCCCGTCAAAGGAAGCGCCGCGGCCTCCGCATCCGATAGATGTTCCGGCGCCTCCTCAACCTCGGACTCCTCGATAGCCACATATTCTTGCAGCGTCCCCTTGTTGTACAGTTTCGTTCCGCCCATGATCCGGTACCCCTTGGGATCTTCCGGGCCATCCGGCGAGCTGTCCCAGCCCACCCCGGGATTCAGGATCACTCGTTTCCCCTGCCAGCGCTGCGGGTCAGCGACATCGGGACCCGCCCCGACCACCATGCCCACTCCGTCGGCACCGAGGGGGACATCGAACGTGACTCCCGGGTACAAATGTTGGCGTAGGAAGACGTCGCGGTGGTTGAGCGAGGCCGCGGTCAGCTTGATGAGTAATTCGCGGCCCTGTGGGGTAGGGACGGCCTGTGCCTGCACGGAGAGGGGATAGTAGACTTGGCCCGGTTTGCCTTCTGTTTTGGTCAGGAAGACGGCCTTGGACATTTTGACGCAGATGAAATCTTTCGTAGTTGTAGGATATGTAGTTGTGATGGAATTGGGGTAAGGGAGAGGGTTTAGCGATCAGGGGGAGTGAGAAGATGAAAGGGCGGACCCAGCTTGAGTTATTTATCAGTGCGGGGGAGCTTGGATTTGTTATCAAGTGCCGAGGATGTCCTTAGATCCGATCGTCACTAGAGCTGGGAGTATATGCTTTGACTGGGCATTCTTGACGTAGAGGAATCACCAATTGCTATCATACTTCAAATAAGAGCATCTCTTCATGGAACTAGGTAGCAGATACAGCACATTGAGAGATTAATTGCCATTCAGAGTTCAATGCCACAGAACCCTGCCGAGGACGGATTATTATATCAACGTCAACACCAAAATCAGAGACATTTTCACTGTCTCATCGACCGACGATGGAGAATTTCCATACAGGTGACTTAACATTCATGCTGCAGCCATGCCAATGCTCTACCTATCTTGCTCGGAGTATGATACTGCTGGCGGTGCAACCACGAAGTCCTCGGTGCCTCAGGCCGACATAGATTATACACTCTGTAATCAGATTACCGGCACCAGTATCATACCGGTATGGTATCTGAGCGGCGGAGGCCAACATTCCACACAGGCAAGCACCAACGGAGCCTTACATTTTGCAGTTGCAGTCTTAGGGCAATACTGATCACCTCGACGACAACGTCGAAACGGGGTATTTTCTTCCAGTATCTGCTGGGAGTTCTTGGCGGGCGGTAGGAGTATTCATCCTGGGCGGATTTTGGGACTTTTGATATGCGGGGGCAGATGAGAAGTGTAACGCAGATTTATGCATTTTGGTATATACATATGGCCAAGGTAGCAGAAGCATCGCGAAGTTGAATATGAGTATGATGGGGGGAGGGGATGTTTGATGAGCAAAGCTCCCGATTTATGCACTGCTCCGAAGCAGACCCCCAATGCGAGCAACCTACAGGATAGATCGGCTGTGACGTGTCAGTTTTCAACTTCAATGCGATCGAGAGCATCGAGCATCTGGCTGTTGGTAATGTTCCGGCGAGATGCGATTGAGATTTTCCGCCAGAGGTCCCGGCCTGGGTGATGACTTGCCCGACCTCGGGCAACCGAGCTCCAATGAAGTGTACTGTACCATCATCACGAGATATATGCCACCTGTCTTGCGAGCTCTTTTGGTCGGTAGGAGTATGTACTGTACTCGTGAGCTTTCGATCTACACACGTACAGATCGCCGATCAAAAGACCCCAGAAACGTCAAACAATAACAACAACAACAACCGAAGCCAAGCCACTGATCATCAAGGTGTATCCAACCTCCAGCCATGAGAACAATCCCGGATATCACGTCACCCTCTCGACGGCCAAACTACCTTAAGGTTTTAGTCGATCAAGTATATCTGCACAAATCGGTCCAGTGCACCGTACAAGACCAACTACCCAGCCAAGCAAGCAAGCAAACAAGCAAGCAATAAAAGTATACTTCCAAGCCCGACTCGGTGGGAAAAGCGACAGAAATTACTTAAACCGGGCAAGCGACCAAACCTTAAGGCCGATTGGATTTCCGCTGTAACCGGCCGAGCTTTTTTTTTTGCGTCTGGATTATTCTTGATGGGTAGGGAAGAGTGCTTGGTGATTGATTGATTCCGTGGTGGCTGATGCTGATGCTGGCCGGACTCGGAGAGTAGGAGTAGGGCTGCTGTTTGTGCCGTTGCTGTTGCTGTTGCTGTTGTGGTTTCGGTTGCTATTGCTATTTGCGTTTCTGCGTGAAGCAAAAGCAAACTGCCCCAAATTTAAGGACTATGTAGCTAACTTATATGCGTACCGGTAGACTATTCCTTCCGGAGAACTGCACATCTCTTCCGCCAGCCTATTCTTTTTTCTTTTTTTGGGGGGGCTTGTGAGTGGGAAAGTACTTTACAGTACGCAAAAAAAAGGCAAAAAAAAGAAGGCGACACGTCGAGGAAGAAGCCGAAGCGTTTGCGGCTGGTGTGTGGGCGGGCCAGTCAACGTCGGGGCGTGGACTTAAGGGAGATGGAGTTGGCTGGGGAAGAGGTCGGGCCACGCACCCGATCCTGGAGGTCGAGCTTTCCAGTAGTAGTACTGCAGGTACTGCCGGTGTAAACAGTGATCGTCTCTATTCTTCGATCCGCGTGGAATACACATGATACAAAGATTGTGCTTGCAGAGGATGTGTTGTGCATGGGTGGTCACCACCGTGGTCACCATAGTGGTCACCATAGTGGTCTACCCAGGCTTTGCCTGGGAGCGGCACTGTGTGTTATGAGTAGTAAGGACCTGGCAACTACGAGTGTAGTGTGTAATAATGAGTGAATGAATGGATTGACATCAATTATCATTCAGGCAAGGTTGAGAATTTACCCTTACTGATGAGGTAATGTACTTCAATTGACTCGAGGGTGGCTGGTGGTATCCAACGTATGGGGAAAAAGGCGAGAAAAGCGACGAAACACGAAAACAGTCCCCCCCCCTTATTGCCACATCCCACCGCTCATTCGCCGCTCAGCCCTTGGCTCATTTTTCTCACTCTTGAACTTCCCAAACTTGCACCAGGAACTGATCCTTTCGATCTTCTGATCTCGAACTCGAACTTCGTTCAATCCCGTCGTCGTCTGCTGCTGCCAATTCCTCCCACAACCTATTTTCGCTCTACACAATTCTGTCGCCGTCTCGATCAACTTGGGCCTGGTATGTCTCTCTCTCTCTCTCTCTCTCTCTCCTGCTCCTCCCTCCACCATCGAAACCTCGTTTGCCTCCCTCCGCTCCCTCCCTCCCTCTTCCCCCCCCCATCTTCGTCCCTCGGGTTCGTTGGCTGATCGATTCTCTCTTCTCTCCACACAACCAAACAGCTTTGCGTCCTTGTTTCCTACCAAACACATCCCTCTAAAAAAATTCGAAACCAACGCGTTCGCCTCACCTCTGACCGTCGACCTTTCCCTCGATTTGTCTTTCATCTGATCTGCTGGACTCGGCCTTGTCTTTTCCGTCTCAACCAGCTATCCTTTTCCATTCCATAATGCCTACGCCACTTCCCTCTAGTTTTGCCTCAGCCGCCGCCGGCAACATCCACGACTCTTCCAACCGCAGAGGAGATGGAGCTCCCGGTGGAGAATGGTATGCCTGCCCCCGTTCCTTGCCCAACACCTTGTCGCGCGTCCGTCTCCTCGTTTGCCAGCAGCCCCATCCAAATCCGGCCGGGGACCTCCTAGTTTTGTGGTGGAACCAGAAAAACTGACAACTCATTCCTACTTCTGCTGGGGATGCACAGGTCTCGCACTCGCATGAACGGAGCAACACAGACCTTCCGCCGCCCCTCAGTCGCGACGAACCCGTCGCATAACCGGGATACGAGTCAACCGAACTCGGCCACCACTCCCACCGTCGGCACCTACACCCCCCCGCATATGTCCTCGAACTACCAGTCCAGCGCACTCCGGAACGGTGCCACCACGGAAACTCGTTATTCCAAGGACCTGCTGCTAAATCTCTATAAGAACCAACGGGACACCGGCTCGCTGGGGAAGAATGTCGCAGAGTACTTCGTCGCCGACTGGAATCCCCACTCCTCCGAAACCTCCCCCGTCAATGGAGCATGGGGCAAGCGCGAAGATTCCAAGGACAATCCGTCCGGTCCGGAGGTCTGCTGGGATCATGGGGGCCATGTCGAGCCGCTGGGTCTCGTGGAACCGACGGACGACGAGAAAGAGGTGTGTCTTTCTTACGTGTTATACCCCGCCATATCACCTATGGACTATTTTCGACTTATGTCGGGGCATCTTTGCTAAATCGTCCAGTTGTTTACCTCCTCCGTCAACTCTCCGCTGAAGCCGCCACCCACGAACGCCTCGAAAGAGAACACCGCTACCGGCGCGGGAGGTCGCAAGCTGTCCATTTCCCAGGGTCATATGAACAACTACAACACTTCCTCTCCCAGCGCTGGACGTCCCGGTCCCCGGCGTCGGGAGACAGCCGATTCGCCCGCGAATCCAATGTCTCCTACCACCAGTGGCTCCCGCTTCTTCCGTGACGAACCGACCACGTCCACCCCTCCACCCTCCCTGCTGCGACGCAAGACCGACTTCCGCGATACTTCCTCTTCCACTGCTCGGTGGGAGGAGAAGGAAAAGGAGAATCTGGGTAAGGAGCCCGGTGCAGATGTCGCGTCTCCATTTGGCTCGCTGAAGCGGAGCTCCACCAATCCGTTGAGCGTGGCGCCAGGTGGGCCAAGCTCGCCTTGGGCGGCCGCCTCGCAAAATGCCAATAATTCACCGATGGGTGCGTTCGGATCCTTTTCTCTTGGACCAGGAACGAGCACCACCCCCACCACGGAGAAGAAGGCTGGGTTTGGCAGTCTCCGTGGAGAAAGTCGCCTGAAGGGACTTTTCTCCAAGGATAGCTCCGAGGACATGGCGGCGGCGGCTCTCAAGGAGAAGTCGTCTCTTAGCAGCCTGGAGCGCTTTGCTGATGTGGAGGGTGAGAAGCGCGCGCAGTCCCCTTGGGGCGAGCCTGTCAAGACCCGCACTGGTCGCAGTGAGACGAACCCATTCCAGGAGGAGCTTCGCAGTGGCAGCGCGGCGCTTGGGGGCTCTCAAGAGATCAATCCCCACCCCCAGCCCTCGTCCGACCATTTGGGCTTTGGGGCGTTTGGCATGACCTCGAGCATTCCCGGATTTCGGGAACTGATGCAAAGCCACGAAAATTCCCGGAACCCTACCCCGAGTCTTCTGCAGGGACACGAGCCTACTAGCCCGACCAATACGAACCCCTACCAGAGCCCCCACGGCGACCGACACGAGGTGGATGATGTCGAAACCGACGGATCGGATATTCAAAACACCACCCACCCCGGTATCACTGGCCTGCGCGATACCTCCGCTTTCGGCTCCATCCGACGTGTCGGCTCGGGCATGGACTTGCCGTCCATTGACCGCAGCCAAACATCGAGTGCAGCTGGAAACAGAAGCTTTTCAAGCTTGGGCGGCCTAGGTGGTCTTCCTCCCATTGGAGGCGCTGCTGGATGGCCCACGAGCGCCGCCGTTGGCACCCCCACGCGCGAACGATCTGCGTTTGCGGGCGGCTTCGGTGACCCGATCTTCGGGACCATGGGTGACCTGCAGTCTCCAAGCTTGTCGACGCTGGGAGGAAGCGGTCTGTTCAGCCCTCATGCTGGGATCACTGGAACGGGCAGTCTGGGTCGCTCGAGCAAACTAGGCTCGCTCTTCCCCCCCGCCATGCAAGAGCAGATGCAGGGTGACCAGATCCGGCCCGATCTAGGGGCTTTGGACGAGGCTGCCCGGCAATCTGGGGAGATCTTCGACGGACTTCTGGCGGATCAGGGCCCACTGACGCACGGAGCAGATCTACAGCCTATCGATAAGACTGTGCAGGGCGGCCAGCCAGCCACTTCGACTTCTCAGACTCCTGTGTCTGCCGTCGGCTCTGGTCCTGGCTCCATGGTTCCTGATGCGCCGCAACCCAGCCAGACCCCCGGAAATTCTGGGTCTGTCCCCCCGGCGCAGCAACGGACCATGGTGATGCCTGACCGCATGCGCTGGATCTACCGTGACCCGCAGGGTAACATTCAGGGCCCATGGACTGGACTCGAGATGCATGACTGGTTCAAGGCCGGATTTTTCAGCCCAGACCTGCAGATCAAGAAGCTCGAGGACCCCGAATTTGAGCCGTTGGCACAGCTGGTTCGTCGCATTGGCAATTCTCGCGAACCGTTCTTGGTACCTCAAATCGGCATTCCTCACGGGCCTGACCCTGCCCCCGGACCATGGACTGGCAACACGAGCGGCACGGCGCAGCCTCCCTTCCCTGGCAGCTTCCCTAGCTTTGGTACCACCCTGACCGCCGAGCAGCAGAACGCTTTGGAACGTCGCAAACAGGAGGAGCAGTACCTGATGGCCCGCCAGAAAGAACACTTGGCTCAGCAGCAGGCTCTGATGAAGCAGATGCAGTTCCAGGGCGTTCCCCACTCCATCCACCCTCATCAGCTTCAGCACCATTCCAGTGCTCACAGCCTCCACAGCCAGCCTAGCTTCGGTAGCATCGCTTCTCCGGTCGGCTTCCAGCCCTCACCGATCCAGGCGCCGATGCAGCAACAGCAGCAGCAGCAGCAGTCCCAGCAGCAACCTCCGTCCGTTGCCGGCTTCTTTGATGCGGCTGCCGCCATGCGAGGAAACCCTCTGCCCAACGTGGGTCCTCAGATGCTCGGCACGGATCTGGGCCAGGATCAACTTCCTACTCTTCTGGACCGCCTGAACATGAGTCGGCCGGATCCGTTCGCCTTTGGTACCCCCAGCTCTTTCGCTGCTCGCCAACCTGAAAGCCTGTTCCACCAGCAGCAGGTCGCTTCGATGCTCCAAGATCGGGCCCGTCTGCAGCAGGAGCAAGAGCAGTTCGATAGCACCCAGGGTGATGCTCTCTTCGACCAACAGGCACGTGAGGAGCGCCTTCGTCAGTTCCATGCCCTGAGGGCACAGGAAGCCGAACTCGGAATGCAGACTGTCGAGGGTCTTCCTACCCACCCGGCCGAGTCCGTTCAGTCTCAGATCCCCGAGGAGAGTACTGAGTTCGATACCGTTGAAGCCGCTCCCCAGGAGCCTCCTCTCACTCTGTCGCAGCAGGTCCAGAAGGCTGCCACCGCTCAACGCCAGCAGCTGGAGCAACAAGAACAGCAGGAACAGCAGCAACGCGAGCAGCAGCAATTGGAACAACCGCAGGCGGGCTCCGTCACCGAGGCCGCTTGGATGAGCAAGGGCGATAGCGCCATGCCCCAGCCCTTCCCTCCTCCGCCCTCTGCCTCCCCTCTGCCGGCTCCTGCCGCTCAGCGCAACCGCCAGAATGTGGCCGAATCCCTGGCTGCCAACTCTCGCTCCCAGACGCAGACCCCGGTCGAGGCGCCCACCACGTCCATTGCGCCGTGGGCGAAGGAAGCCAACGAGGTCCCCAAGGGTCCTTCTCTGAAGGAGATCCAGGAGGCTGAAGCTCGGAACGCCGCCCAGAAGGAGGAAATTGCGGCTGCCGCTCGTCGTGCTCAGATGCTTGCGGAGCAGGAGCGCCTCAGCCAGGCGGCCCAGGTGCAAGCGCCTGGCCTGCCGTCGACTGCCAACTGGGCGAGCGCCGGATCGCCGTCGACCCCGACTTCCTCCGGTTCCGTCTGGAACAACAAGGGTCCTGCCGCTCCATCGGCTGCTGTCAAGAAGACTTTGGCTCAGATCCAGAAGGAAGAAGAGGCTCGAAAGCAGCGTCTTGCCGCCGCGGCCGCTGCGACGCAGACTGTTGCTGCCAGCCCTCCTACTGCTCCCTCGTCTACTGGTAAGCGCTACGCCGATCTGGCCAGCAAGGCTCCCGCGCCGTCTCCTGTGAACACGGCTGCCTCTTCGGGCGCATGGACCACCGTCGGTGCCGGCGGCAAGGCCAAGGCTCCTCCTGCTGCTCCTTCGGGACCGCGCGCGACCACTGGCGTTGTGCCTGTGGCCGTTTCGCCGGTGAAGCCCAAGCCCGCTACGGTTGCCACTCCTCGTACCGTGTCTGTGGGCCCTACGCCGGCCACCAACCCTAACCGGGCGGTTGAAGAGTTCACCAAGTGGGCCAAGTTGGCGCTGGGCAAGGGCCTGAACAGCAACATCAATGGTAAGTGTTTTTTTCTTTCTAGGGGTTTATTGAGCTGGAGCTAATTGCAATGATGTAGTGGACGACTTTGTGCAGCAGTTGCTGTTCCTGCCGGCGGAGGCGGAGATCATCTCGGATTCGGTGTATGCCAACTCGCAGACTCTGGATGGACGGCGGTTTGCGGAGGAGTTTATCCGTCGGCGCAAGCTGGCGGACAAGGGGATCGTGGACCCGGTGGCGGCGAGTGCGTTTGCGGAGCCGAAGAACGCGGGCGGGTGGAGCGAGGTGGCCAAGAAGGGGTCGTCGAATGCGCACCGGGAGGAGGATGCCAGCAATGCGGCGTTCAAGGTGGTTGCTCCGCGTAAGAAGGGGAAGCGGTAGATTGTGGGTGTCAGGGAACTTGGTGAAGGTGTATCTTATCAGGATCTATACCGCATAGCATAGATCGGGAACTTATCTATCATGTGATAGCCACGCCCTTCGATTACAGTACATGCCCTATGCCCCTCTATGCGTCATTGACGAACTCGAGAGGAGGGAGTATAAATACATCTACATCGGTACTTACTTGGCACAGTCCAGAATCTCCTCGTACCTGATAACTCAACTCCACTCCTCCCCATCACCCCAGAAAACATTCGAAGAGCAGCGAGAATGTCACCCACCACCCCCTTCGGCGCCCCGATGCGCCAACACTTCCTCCTCGACCCGAACTATAGAAACCTGAACCACGGTCACTCCCACTGACAGACAAACACAACCCCTCCCCCCAACACAAAACTAACTGATCGATCCCCAGGCTCCTTCGGCACGCACCCCCGCCCCGTCCTCGCCACCCAACAAACCTACCAGCGCCTCGCCGAGCTCTCCCCCGACCAATTCCTGCGCTACACGCAGCCCACGGCCCTGCTCCCCGCGCGCCACGCCCTCGCCGCCCTCCTCCACTGCCCGGTGCGCGACCTCGTCCCCGTCAAAAACGCCACCACCGGCGTCGCGACCGTGCTGCACAACCTCGCCCCGCATTTTGTGGAGGGCGACACGCTCCTCTACTTCGCGACGGTCTACGGCGCCGTCGAGAACGGGCTGTTCTCGCTGCGCGACCATCTCCCGGGTCTGCGGCTGCGGAAGATCGAGTACGCGTTCCCGATCACCCCCGGGGAGCTGGTGCAGCGGTTCCGGGCGGCGGTGCGCCAGGTGCGGGCCGAGGGGTTGCGGCCCCGCATCGCCGTGCTGGAGACGGTGGTCAGTCTGCCTGGGGTGCGGTTTCCGTTCGAGATTTTGGTGAAGGTGTGTCGCGAGGAGGGGGTGTGGAGTCTGGTGGATGCGGCGCATGGGGTCGGCATGATTGAGTTGGATTTGGGGACGGCGCTGGTGGATGAGGGCCAGGATGAGGGCCGGGATGAGGGCCAGGATGGGCTTGGGCATGGGCTTGGGCCAGACGGGTGGGGGAAAATCGGGGGCGTGGATTTCCTGACCAGTAATTGCCATAAGTAAGTGTGACCTTCCTTCCCCTGGCTTTTCCCTTACCCTTGCCCTTACTGCTCGGGGCAGCTGCGCACCTCGCCCCCCCCCCACAAGACTTACAATCAGAGAAGCGTAATGCAATGCTGACAATTGGCGCACACTGCGCAGGTGGCTCTACACCCCCCGCAGCGCGGCCGTGCTCTACGTCAACCCGGCCCTGCAGCACCTCATCCGCACCACGCTCCCCACCTCCTGGGGGTATATCGCGCCTCCATCCGAGACGCCGGCGAAGCCCTCGCTGATGGCAACGCCTGGCACACGCAAGACCGCGTTCGAGGCGCTGTTCGAGTTCGTGGCCACGGCCGATGATACGCCGTATCTGTGTGTGCCGGCCGCCCTGCAGTTTCGGGAAGAGGTGTGCGGCGGCGAGGCGGCGGTCTATGCTTATCTTGAGGAGCTGGTGAATGAGGGGGCGGATCTCGTGGCGGCCGGGTTGGGGACGGAGGTTCTTGGAGACGGGGAGGGCAATGCAGCAGGTAAGAGGAGTGCGTGGAGGAGGTGTGCCATGAATAATGTGCGGTTGCCGGTTAGGGTCGTGCAGACGGTCAATGATGCAGGTGAGGAGGATGCTGCCGGTCTAACAGCGGAGCTCGTCCCCGCGGTGGTGGATTGGATGCAGAGGAGGCTGGTCGAGGATTACCGCACCTTCGTGCCCGTCTTTGCCCATGCCGGTTGGCTGTGGGTGCGGCTGTCGGCCCAGGTCTACCTCGACAGGAGCGATTTCGAGTGGTTGGTGCCCGTGTTGAAGGAGTTGGTGGGTCGCGTCAAGGAGGAGTTTAAGCTGGGAAAGGTGTCGCCTCACCTGTAGCAGCAGATGTAACAGATACAACAGACTACATAGACTAAGCCCATTCACAAAATTCTGCAATGATATACAACTACGCGAATATATGCAGGCCGTAGTAACAGCATCACAAACACAATCAAGTACCAGCAGAAAACACGCAACTCGCAAACCTAGCTATCCACTCACGTCTCAATCAGATCCGCAGTCTCGCCCTGGGTCTGCTCCGCCACAGTGTTGTCTCGCGTGTCCTTGTTGGCGATCTTGCGCGCAGACCGCGCATAGAACTCATCCAGCACACGCTTGGGGATACGGTTGAGCAGGTCCTTGGGGTAGATCCGCAGCAGGTTCCACGCGATGTCCAGCGACTCGAAGATCGTGCGCGACTCGTACGGCGACTGGCTGATGAAGGTCCGCTCGAACTTGTCCAGGAACTCCAGCGAGAGCTTGTCCTCGGAGGAGAGCGCCTCCTCACCGACGACAGCCTTCATGGCGGCTAGACACAAAATTTAGCTATGGCCACACCTCAACTCCGCACACAAACTTACCAGCATCACGACCAATGGCGTACTTGGCGTACAACTGGTTGGACACATCCGAGTGATCCTTCCGGGAACGGCCCTCACCAATAGCCGACTTCATCAGACGGGACAGCGACGGCAGCACGTTGATGGGCGGGTAGACACCCTTGTTGTACAGTTGACGGTCAATGAAGATCTGTCCCTCCGTAATGTAGCCAGTCAAATCGGGAATGGGGTGAGTGATATCTGCAATCCATCAGCATTGGTCCATCTGCATATGCACCACCAGATAAAGCAACTGACCGTCGTTAGGCATCGTCAAGATAGGAATCTGTGTGATGGATCCGTTACGGCCCTCCACACGACCGGCACGCTCGTACAAGGTCGACAAGTCAGTGTACATGTAACCGGGGTAACCACGACGACCCGGGACTTCTTCACGAGCAGCCGAGACCTCACGCAGAGCGTCACAGTAGGCAGACAGATCAGTCATGATGACCAGGACGTGCTTCTCCAGCTGGTAGGCATAGTACTCGGCCGTGGTCAGCGCAAGACGAGGGGTGATGATACGTTCAATCCTGGACGCGGGCTGTCAGTTCCGCACGCACACACGCACACAAAACCAATCACATACGTAGGGTCGTTGGCCAAGTTCAGGAAGAGCGTCACGCGCTCCATACTGCCGTTCTCCTCGAAGTCGCGGGTGAAGAAACGGGCCGTTTCCATGTTCACACCCATGGCGGCGAAGACGATGGAGAAGTTCTCCTCGTGTCCGTCGTGGACGTCCTTGGTGGGGCGCTTCACCAGACCAGCCTGACGACAGATCTGGGCGGCGATTTCGTTGTGTGGCAGACCGGCGGCAGAGAAGATGGGGATCTTCTGGCCACGGGCAATGGAGTTCATCGTGTCGATAGCGGAGATACCAGTGGAGATCATTTCTTCGGGGTAGACCTGCAGACCACCAGACGCGTTAGCCACCGGGGATGTGCATGTCGCGGAACAAGGGCGAGGCTCATACTCGGGAGTAAGGGTTGATAGGTTGGCCGTTGATATCCAGGTAGTCCTCCGCCAGCACCTTGGGGCCCTTGTCAATCGCGCGACCGGAGCCATCGAACACACGACCCAGCATGTCTTCGGAGACACCGAGCTTCAAGCTGTGACCGGTAAACTCGACTTTCGTCTAAGGCAAGTCAGCACGGCGGTTGACTCAGGCTATAGCTATGTGACAGCGAAGTACCTTCTTAACGTCGATGCCAGACGTGCCTTCGAACACCTAGTATGACCGCATTCCGATGTCAATATACCGTCCGATAAATCCACCTCCCATACTCTGCACTCGAAAAGTCCGCACCTGAACGACTGCTCGGTTTCCTACAGCAGGGGTAAGATACATCAGCGGATCTGATCGTTATCTCATTCATTCATTCATCCACACATACCTCGAGCTTCCAGAACCTGACCCGACCGCTCGGTCCCATCAGGGAGGGTCAAAGACACGATCTCATTGTAACGGGGGAATTTGACCTAAACCATCGTGGATTAGCTGGAATTCCCATCCCTGATATACCTGGGGTCGGCCAGATGACGTGCCGATGGAGACGGGCCCGTACATTATCCAGAACGACCAGCGGTCCGTTGATACCTCCAATGGTGTTGTAGCGGATGCGAGGCTTGACGCTGGTCATCCGGGGGTCGACGAAATCGGCCATGGTCGAAGAGTCCACCACAGGGTGCTATTTAAAACAGAGACGATAGACAAAGAAAAGAGGGAAAGGGGGGAAGGGGGGGAAGTGGGAGAATGCGGACGAGGAGGCGGAACTGAGGGGAGAGGAACAGCTCCTGGTGGTGGTCGGGAGTGTCGACGTATGCTTAGGCTGGAGCCCGTGGGCAGTTTGGCTGGTTTGCCCCGTTTGGCTCCACGTCCTCCCGGGGGGCGGTGTGGAACCTTCCCACGTGATGCTCTCTCGCCTACGATCTATAACTTACGAAAGTACATAGACTTATTACGATCAAGAATACGATAATCAGTCATGTTCTTGCAGAGAGACAGTGAGACTAGTGACTCATACATCCCACAAAGCCATCTGCGGCCGCCATAAAATGTCCCCATCCGTGTTAGGCTTCGCAGTCGAGTCAAAGAAAATAAAACGAACGCCAAGCGAAATGAGATCATCAGATCAGCTCGTCATGAATGTCATACTGATACAGCTGGAGAAAGGAAAAGCATCCACGAGAAACGCAGGCTAGAATCGTGAGATAGATACGCCAAACCGCCGTCAAACCGTCATGGTATCGTGTGCAAAAACAAAGAACGGAGAAAGCACATGGAGAAAAGGTCAAATTGCAGTCATTCAGTCCACTTTGGCCAACGCTAGCTTCTTGGGCGTCGTTAGATTGTTGGAAAGACGGACGTTCATCTTTTTGTTCTTGGTTTGTTTCTTCAGCTTCTTGCGGGCCACCATCACCGGTACCGATGAATGCATGACCAGGTAATTCGAGAACGATCCGAGGACCACCCTGTTGTAAACAGTCTGATTAGTTTGCAGCCCATACAGGTCGATCGCAGAGTTCTTACCCTTTGAGTGCACTTCGTCCTCTGGCCCCAACAATGACCAGCGTAGGATCCAATCCATCAATCTGAATACTCGGTCAGCAACTGCGTGCACCTCGGAGCAGGACCAAGCTTGACTTACAGCTTCGGTGATCATGTGCTTCGGGCTCTTGCAATGAATCACCTCCACCGCCACGCGCACCTGCAGTAGCGTCTTTCGCAAGAGACGCACGCACGTCTGCGAAATGACCTCCACCGCCCGCACGCGCTCGGATTCCGCCTTGGACATGCCTCGTGCATCGACCGAGCCCGGTTTGCTGTCCGTGCCGGTCCCTAAGCGATTGAAGAAGGTTCGAGGGAGGTGCGAGCTGGAATCATTCTGGGATTTCGCCGCCGTCTCGGCCGTTTGCGAGCCGACCACCGCAGCAGCATCCTGCATGGCTTTGGCCCCATCCCCAATCTGCACGGCTGCCGGAGTAGCGGTCTCGTCGTGCATGGCACAGACCGCAAACATTGTATCGCCGTCCCGCAGAATGGTACCAATTGTCCACTCCAGAGCATACACCGATTCCTCACTGAGGTCAGTCGTCACCAGATACTTGCGCTGGCGGCGACGAGCGCCTTCCTCTTCGTGTATGCTGGGATAGTCGCCGCGGATGATCGTCCGGATTGATCGGTTGTGCACCGAGCTATCGATCGCAGACATTTCAATGCTGAGTTTCTGAGCGCGTTTGATGTCGCACAACTCTGCCTCGTCCTCCGAGCCGAATGGGGTGTTGGTCGCTGAGGCGGAGTCGAAGCTCGTTCGGGGGCGGACATCAGGCTTCGAGACGGGGCCTGTCTTGGCTGAGTGGATCAACTCAGACTTCCCTGTGGAGTTGTTGCTGGGTTCTGCAGCTCACAATCAGTCAGTATTAAGTAGCGGAACAACGAGACGAGAACGTACGAAATACCGGAGCCGTCTTTGTTGTCGTGCGCGGAGCGATCCTGGCAGGTTCATGGTCGACCGTCTCTTTCCGCCCTCGTTTGTTCTCTTCCGACTCGCGATCCGGACTCTCATCATCGCTGGAAGACATTTCGTCACCGTCCTCGTCACTGGTCTCGATCGGATTGTTCTCGCTGTCGTAGTGGTCCTTTTCGAGCCGCTGCTCTCCGGGAGCCGAGGAATTGGCATCCGCCTCTGGTGGGGATTGAGGAGCTGGTGGAGGCGGGACTGCTGGCTGGGATGTTGCTGGAGGGGTCGGAGGAGGAGAGACCTTCGGGGCGCTCCCAACCGCCACACTCTCTTTTGGCTTCTCGTTGGGGGTTGCTTTCAGCGGTTCCTTAGTGCGTTCTGTAGGCTTCTCTGCCTGTTTCTCCTTAGGAGACTCTTTACTCTCTTTCAGCTTTTCCATCGGGTTCTCATTCGGGCTCTCCTTCGGACTTTCAAGTATAGGCTTTGCGGTGTCGACCGACTGATTGCGTGAACCGGGGCTCAGCCAGCGACGCTTTGGCGAACTGGAGCGGGTCGAGCGGAGCGCCGGAGTTCGCGAGTCAAGCGAGTTGCCTCGGGATGAGGAACTGCGGCCAGAGTCCCGACCTCTGACAAAGCTCGGGAACCCAACCTTGATGTCGAGGCCTGACATCACGGCGGCCATGCTTGGCAGACGATTCGAGGAGGAAGCGGCCGGAGGCTTCTCCTGAGATTGACTGGCACGACGGGCGCTGGGAGGCATATCGAGAGAGGAATCCCAGCGAATGCTAGGGCCTGATTTGTGCGTGGTTGTGGTTGCGGCTTGGGGGCCTCCGGACTTGTCGCTGCTGTCGGACTGAACGGAGGATTTCCTCGGTGCCGGTGGTAACGGAGGAGCCACCAACGAAGTGGTCCTGGGCGGCGGAGGGGAGGTGGTGGTCGTGGTGGTCGTGGTGGTCGTAGGTGACGTCGAGGGCGATGTGGACGAGGAGGGAGGGAGGGGAGGAGGTTTAGAGGAAGTGGTGGGAGATGATGCAGTGGAAGTGGTGGGGGTCGAAGAGCGGCGGGGAGCAGAGGTAGTAGTGGTGGTAGTATTGGAAGCGGGATAAGAATTGTAGTGATGGTGATAATTGCGGCCCGAGGGGGAAGTCACGCCCACTCCAATGCCGGCGATGGAGCCATGCCGGGGAGGGACAAAGCCTGGACTGGGAGCGATGTCCAGCATGCTCCGGCGTGGGTACCAAGAGGAATTAGTGTGGTTGCCTTCCCCCGACTCCCGCAGTAACTCCCGGCGTTCTTCCTCCAGTGCCGTCTCTAACGAGATGGGCGCAGGTTTTCTACTGTAGTACGGCATGGTGACGGTGGGTGAGCACAAGTGAGCACGAGTGCACTGGATTCCCCGAATTCACCCGGTCCTTTTGATCTTTCTATTCAGTTCTTATTAAGATGTGTTCTGCCTGTCTGTCTGTCTGTCTGTCTGTCTGTCTGTCTGTCTGTCTGTCTGTCTGTGGGATTATTATCTGGCAGCAATAAGTTAACTGATGGAGCCGCCCAAAAACGGAGGGGGGAGGAGGGACCGACTGGGATTGAGAGACACACGACTAATCCGTAACGGGCCCCGGAATGTGGAGTACGGTTGAGCGACGATCATCGGCCGAATGAGCGGCGCCAAATCCAGGTAAGGGGCGGCAAGTCACTTCCCAAATCCCCAGATTTCGCTTTCAGCTTTCCCCGTGATCGGTGACAAGAGCTTGAGCAAGCTGTGGCAACAGCACAGCACGGCAGCAGCAGGCAGCGAAGCAGCAAAGCAGCAACTCTGTCCTCTTTCACTTTGCGGAACCGTGATGCGGAGGTACAACAACAACAACAACAACAACAACAGGAAATGGCACGAATTATAGATTAAGCGGGCGGGCTTGGGAGATCCCCACGTGCAACGAAACGGCTGCAACTGCCGGCGATCGAATCGGTCGCGACCAGCCGCGGCCCAGGTTCTGGCTGAAGCTGAGGGCTCTTCCTTTGTTACAGGTCGCAGCGGACGTATCACAAACAAAAGCAACCAAAGGGAGTCGGGCGCGTTCACGAGCTCTCCCCACGGATGGGTAGAAGGTGGAAGTGAAAGTGGAGGAGGGGAACGGGAACAATAAAGAAGAAAACGAAAGAAGAGGAGAAGATGGATGGTAATAGTCGAGCACAGTCCACTCTGCCAAGTCAATCACAGGGAAAAAGGAATCGAGGAATGACTTGACAAGTTGACAGTTCGTCCCAAGATCGACTGGCGATTCGAGGGAGCTTAAGAGGACAAGAGGTGAGCAAAAAAGCTCGGCCAACGAAAGCTGCAGCTGAGCTCGTCAGAAAAAGCTCGGCACGGCGGGGTATCACCAACAAAGTAAGAAGAATTGGGGAAGATGGGAGAGGGGAGAGAGGAGAGGGGGCGAGAGAGAGAGAGAGGAGTGGAGATGAGAGGAGATGGAGAGGAGAGGAGAGAAGAGAAGAAAATAGGCTGATCAATTTAACTCAATACTCAGTAACTCAGTAACTCGATTCACACAGCAGATAGACCTATCCCTTGCATGAGTGCTTGAGTGCATGAGTGCTTGACTGCTTGACTGCTTGACTGACTGTGCCGTACATCGTAACTACTACTCCAGACCTACCGAATACTTAACTCATACTACTGCACACTACGGAACAGACTGAGTATTCTTACCTCTTGAAAGAGTTGCAAAGTGTCACCGCAGCCCCTCTTGAGAAACTCGAGCCTGGAATGTGCATTGCATGCAGGCGACCGAACTGCTTATTTGTACTTGATCAGAGCTCGAACCAGGGATCCAACCCAACCCATCATTCAGTCAGTCAGTCAGTCATTCATCACATTCCATCCCCCTCCAACCACCGCCCATCGACCCGTCGCCCTCCCGCTGAGTTGGTCGAACGATCGTCGTCGCAGCGTCAGTGTCATCTCATGGGTCAATCTTTTTCCATTTTCGACACCTCTACAGCCTTCGTCCCTGATGTTACATTCGGTGTCATTCCAAATGGCAAAAAAAGCATTAATACATGCATGATAGCGAAAGAGAAAATAAAGGAAAAAGAAAAGAAAACGCAACACAACACAACGGGAAAATAGCTGCTCACCCCCCCCGAAATGGATGATGCATGCTCGTCGCTCGACAGATCAATAAAAAAGAATAGACAGACCCAACGCCCATTTTTCGCCAGTGCATCAGACGATAGATGCATCTTCCGACTCCCCAAACCGTTTTGAATATGCAGACAAGAAAATAGAGACCCGACCGCTCCTCAATCCTCCCCCCCCTCCCTCCCTCTAGGCATCTGTTTTTCTCTTCTTCTTGGCTGTCTTTCGCGCTGCAGTAGCTGCAAAGGCCTCCTCCGGGGGTTCGTCCATCTTGGCCGCCCGCTTTCGACCGGGTTGGCCGTACTGCTGCTCCAATCGATCGAAGAAGGCCTCCGCCCGCGTGGCCTGCCGTTGCTGAATCATCTTCAACAGCTCGTTGTCCCCCATGGCACCATCGTTCTTTTTCGAGGTCTTCTTGCCGCCCTTGCCGTTCTTCTTGACCGACTGCTTCTCCTCGACCTCCGCCGCCAACGCCTCCGCCTCCTTGGCCTCCTTCTGGGCTCGTTTCACTCGCCGCTCGCGCTTCTTCGCCGGCTCCTCCACGTAGCTCTTGTGCTTCTCCGCGCGGCCCTCCGCGATGGCGCGGTCGATGATGGCCCGGAAGCGCTCATCGTCATCCAGAACGTTGCAGAGCAGCACCGACTCGTAGACCTTATCCAAGTCCCCCCGGTAGGTCTCATACACCGCCAGCACGTCGCGCGCCTCCTCCTCGGAGCCCTGATACTCGTGCTTCAGCTTGTCGATGGCGCTGGTGTCGATGGCGCTGGAGAACTGCTCGCGGTAGAAATCCGCCCAGTTGAAATCCTCGTCGACGTCGACCGCCTCGCTGGTGCTGCCGGTCAGGTCGTAGCGCTCGCGGCGCTTCCCGTCGGAGAGGATGGCGTAGGCGAAAGCAATCTGCTGGAATGTCTTGTTTGCTTCATCTCGCTCGTCGGCCGGGACCTTGTCTGCGGCAGTGGGAAAGAGGTTCGGTTAGGGTCGGGCATCATTGCGGTCTATGGATGTGAACTTTTCAAACATACCAGGGTGGTGCTTGAGTGCCTGTTTCCGATAGGCCGACTTGATCTGGTCTGCGGAAGCCTCGCTCGAGACGCCTAGGATCTCGTACAGGTCGGTCTCTGGGCTGGGAGGCTCGGGAGACTCGCTGTCGCGACGAGGTCCAGGAGACTCGCTGTCGCGCAGTGATTCGGGCGACTCGCTTCTAGGCGGAGGCGCCTGAGCTTTGCTCTTGCGAGGCATTAGGAAGATTTCTAGCCTGGCGTAAATCGCTGCGAGGGTGAAGCAGAGCAAAAACAACGAGGAACGTCAATATGTCTCGCCAGAAGAAAAAGTGAAGTGAGAGAACGATTCAGTCAGACGCGACACGCGGACGCGAATCTCCGGTCGGAAGCCATTAACTGTCAACATCCGGAAGGCGGTAGGTCCCGGCTGTCGTGGCAGAACCTCATAGCAAATCTGACCGCCTTTTATCGATAAGGCCCCTCAATTAGGTCTAGAGCTTCCCCCGCGCTGATGCGGTCATTTCATAGCTGCTAAGTTAACGTTAACATTAGCTAGCTTGAGCTCAGGTTCAATCCATCCATCTCCCCGCCCAAAGAAACCATACACCACCACCACCTGGCAACCACTTTACACTTAACACTTAAACTACCACCAGCACCCCCACACACTCCAGATAGATACCAAAACCCACCACCCACCACGCCCACCAAAGAAAATGCCCTCCCCCCACCTCAAATACATGCGCGCCTGCCTCGCACTCGCCGAGAAATCGCCCGCGCGACCCACCAACTTCCGGGTGGGCGCGCTCCTCCTCTCGCGGCACGAAGACGACACGACCCTCGAGAAAGACGACCAGCTCCTCGCGACCGGCTACACGATGGAGCTCGACGGCAACACGCACGCCGAGCAGTGCTGTCTCGCCAACTACGCGGCCACCCACAACGTCCCCGCCGACCGCGTGGCCGAGGCGCTGCCGGCCGAGCCCGGCCGGAAACTGGTCATGTATGTGACGATGGAGCCGTGCGGGCGCCGGCTGTCGGGGAATGCGCCGTGCGTGCAGCGGATTATCCAGACGCGGGGCCCCGCTGGAGCCGAGGGAAACCGGCGCGGCATCCAGAAGGTGTACTTTGGGGTGAAGGAGCCCGGGACGTTTGTGGGCCAGTCCGAGGGGTGCAGGCAGCTGACGGCGGCGGGGATCGAGTGGGAGGTGGTGCAGGGGCTGGAGAGGGAGATCTTGACGGTGGCGACGGCGGGGCATGAGAATCGCGAGGCAGAGGTGCGGGCGGCGATGGAGACGGTCGAGACGAATATTGACGATATCAGTGCGGAGGAGCGGAGGAGGCAGGCGCAGGTGCCTAGGAATCCGAAGAAGAGGGTTATGGAGGGCGAGTTGATGGGGTGATTGGGTTGCTGGTGGTTTTGGGAGGGTACTGTAGATGAATTGATGATACCGTGTATATATGTAGATCGCAACGATGGTTGTCTTGTGCAAGAGTGCTGGTGAGGATGGATGGGGCTCGGTCTGGTATGGTTCAAGCAGGCGATAGTTAGCCTTCTAGAGGATGGAGAGCGATAATATGGTTCTGTCAGCGGCCTGTCATTTCTCGTAAAGATCTCATCTAAGGACTACTTCGATCCTGAAGGATACTATTGTAACTGCAAGGTTGACAAGCTCTTTCAGTAAGGACTTGACTTTCAAAAAAGGAAATTGACGACTTTGGCGATACAGCAAAGAGCCAAGACTAGGGCTATCTTTAACGCGGCGATATCTGCACTACAGCCAATGCCCATCAGCTATGTTCATCCAAGAGCCGTCTAACATCAATATCACGTAGCAGATCCTCATGCTCTTTCCTCAAATCCGCAGGCATGTTTTCCTCAAACCAGAACGCCCACGTACTCCGCGTATTGATCTCGAGGTTATCCCGACTCGACTTCAGACCCACATGCTGCAGCTGCTGCGGCGCGAGAGCATACCGGGTCAGACCATGTGCATCTGCATACTCCTCGATGATCGAGTCCGTCTGCCCGGCCTTCACCTCGCTCAGATGAGCGATCACCGCGTCGACCTGGTCGCGAGGAAAAACCAACCCTTGGGTACAGCAGCCGTGGGCGTTCATCTCCACCACGCCGCTCAGGGGCATCAGACTGTATTTGCCGACCATGTAGACCAGTCCGATCAGAGCCGGGAGGCTGACGAAGGAGATCGCGCCGATGGTCGGGTAATCGAGGTAGGCGTGACTGGCCGGGCAGGAGCGGCGGACGGCCATGAGCGCGGCGAGCAGTGACAACGATGCCCCGATGAAGATCCAGCCCATGTTGCGGTAGGCAAAGTCCGCCGATGTCCAGCTCAGCGCGGTCTCCGTGAAGAAGAGCCGGAGGTAGACCCACGGTTTGTTGTGATTGTTGTGCTCGAGCTCCTGGATTTGAGCGATCTCCGACAGGCCCTTGAGGGTCTTGGCCATCCAGCCGTCTGCTACGATGATGTCGTCTTCGAACATCGCGAGATAGGTTGCATTAGTGGCCATGCAGGCCGCGAGCGCGTGGATATAGTCACTGAGAATGGAAACAAGTTGTCAGAGGTTTGCTCGTCGACATGCTCCCAGTCGCAGCTCACTTGGCAAGATTACTCACAACACTCCCTTCTCATAGAAGTTCCGCGCCTTTTCCAATTCCTGCAGGTGGTAAAACTGATCCAGGGAGATGTTCTGGTATGATCCAACGTGGTCCGCTAATTGATGCATCCAGTTCTGTCCCCAGCTCGGATGCTGGCTGGGATCCGTGTCTACGAAGATGATGTTGAGGAAGAGAGCACGGCGCTCCGGCGGAGCCAATCCCTCGAGCAGAGACCCCACCGAGGCTTCGAGGTAATTCTCCTCCTCACGTCTCACGGTCAAGAAGGCTGCGCAGACCAACGGATTCGATCCTCCCGTGTAGGAGGTGAAGTTCTCTGCAAGGGTGTTGTGGTTGGTGATCAGGCGCCGGGCCTCGTGTTCCCGGTAGAGACTGTATCTCCATTCGTAGACATGGCGGTCATTGAAGAAGGCCGAATGAGGATCTCGCCAGAACCGAGTTCGACAGTAGGTGTAGGCAATCGACCAGAGGAGTGCGCTGGCCAGGAGGACTTTGATGGCGTTGGATCGTCGGAGTTTTCGAAGTGAGAGGGACTTCAGGGTAGGTTGGAGGATCTGCATGGTTGGTGAGCGGCCAGGGTGCGGCCTGATGTTGACAAGGAGAGAGATGAAAGGAAACACGGTAGGCACCCATGTAAAGTAATGAGACTAGTTCTGCCTGTCTGCCTAGGCTGTAATTCATATAGACTTGCATAGGATGACCAGGATGTATGATTGCTTTTCTCCACAGGTTTAGCACCGCACCAGAATTAATCTTTTGGAATCCTTGCTTGATACGAGTGGGTATCATTGACTAGACAAACGGCAAGTGTCAGCTACCATTGCCTTCAATGAAAGAGACAGGCGACCGAGTCCAACTGTTACACAGCGAGTGATGGGATCAATGCTCATGAGAGTGTGTCCAAGAGGCCCAAGGGTGTTTAGTCTGGGATCACACCCACTACACTGACTTGGCAGATCCACTGTGATCATCTGCTCAGGCTGGGCAATGCAAAGTCTTTATACATGTCTGTCTAGGCAGATTTAGTCATGCCAGACATCTCCAGGCCTATTATCTTGCCATTTCCCAAACAATGCATAGGAAACCGGATTTCCCCACGCCACTCGTCTAGAAGTTCCCTGGAGATCGTGGCCATGACACCCATTCTGCCGTAGGATATGGCTCGCTTGCTCGCAATGCTTTCTCAACTTTAGTTCATGCTCTGAGACAAAGCGGGGCGCTATCCTCAGGGTCCAGAAGATGACTGGCTCTCCCCACAGACTATTGCATCCGACCCTTCACTAGGGGTGACACGATGTGTGTGCAGCCCTATAAGAACTGCTATAGATCCCTGACCAGGCATCAAGCGCGTCCACCCCAGCTAGCACAGCTGATAGTGGGTGTAGCACCTTGGCTTTGGGTAATGCAATAACACACGGAGGAAGGTCCCTCGTCCTGTCCGACGGTAGCCTCTTGTTGCTGAACCAGACACTGTCCACGGGCTGACCATGCTGAATTCCCAGACAAAACTTATAGCCGGGCCATGATCTGCACCAGCCAGTCTCCAGCCTGGCACGTCTCTATGCCCGCCAGCACGATTTCCGCTTCCCTGCCCAATTTAGTGGCCTCTGCTCGGGTCTCGTCACTTGCAACCGTGGCGAGGATCATCACCTCCCACATTTCGTAATCGAACCTCCCATCCCCGAGAAGACCGAGGTTGGTAGCGATGCATCCGTTGAAACAATCGTCGTTCGCTTCCGTCAAGCATATCTCTTGGAATCGGGCAAGCAGAGCTAGCAGCTCCGTTGATGCTGCGTTGTCGACGGGAGCTCCCTCATCCTCTCGCCAGGAAACATTTGCTGTTCTGTGATGATGAGCTGAGGCGTGATTATGCTTTGGATTTCTTAGCATTCTCCATTGCACTGTGTCGTGTTGAAATGCAGGGATCGCTCCCACTCACCAGTGTAGCCGCGACGAGCGGAATTGACATGAGAAAACATACAAGACCCTTCATCTTGGCTTGCGAGGTCTTAAGCCCGGTGGAACTTGTTAAGATGCAGGATTCGAGGTATGTTACTGCGAATTATTCGCGCATGGGGTTAAATCGAGCAGTCTCCTTGCAAAACTTCAGGAGGCGCCTATGGATGTTCGAACGATCATGCTCGTTTTATGTGCGAATGGTTTCCCTGCCAGACTATTGCGCTGCAATGCGACTACCGGTGTATAATATTGCTTTCTCGCTGAATATCATGCAAGGACGCCGTATAGTTCAGATTGGATGGAGTAAGGATCGTCAGGACGCTGTCTCTTGACATCGGGCCGGCTGCTCATGGAAGATGATCATCAATGCTATTGTTGATCGGTGGGTGGAAAGCTTGTTTGGGCCATGCGTGGTGTGATGGGAGATGAGCAAGAGGGGAATGTATGCGAGTCAACAAAAGCTCTAAGTTATAAGTTGTGGAACCATTGGGAAGTGGCAGAAGGACCAGCAGATGTGGTGATGGCATCGCAAGCAAGCCAAGGTGTAAAAGGTCTAACATGACAGTGTCAGGTGTGGCGGATCATCTTTTACGAGATATTCATGAAGCAAGTCTAGCGCCCATGTTTGGTCTAGGATGAACTACAAGTGGTATCTACGTAGTAGCATGCAGCGCGGACAACAATCGCAATACAATGTGTGAAACTAGAACCCGGACTTGGTGCACACCACTCTCACAACAAGAATAAGCCACACGATTCCATATGAGTATTTCACTCTCTTCCCGGCTTTCCCGGGTCAGAGTACTGACGACTAACAGGCGACGTGGCAGCATTAGCATCACACGTGGAGAACGCGGAGGGCGACAGAAAGGAACGAACCATCCCCAGATCGCAAAGCGAATGACGTCGTTAACGACCATGCATTCCCCGATCGATCCAGCCAACATCCACTCATGATTCCTTTAAATAACTCACCACCTGGCCCAGAACACCGTCTAGCTAGCCCCCCTCCCTTTGAAAACAATATCCTACAGCATCTTTCCAACACCACAGCCCGACCCGACAAAATGCCGTGGTCAATTGTCCTGCCGCAGGCAGTCTTCACCTCCCCGCTCCTCTCCGTCGCCGCCCCCATCGCCGCCGGCACATTCATCGGCTTCCAGACCAACAGTAAGCCCTCACCGCATCAACCCACCTCCCCCACCTCCCCCACCTCCATAAACCAGACAATTAAACCAAGCAACCAACCTCTACCTCAAATCAATCCCTAACATACAAGCAGAACAATCCCGCACCAAATCCGTCTACCGCAACCTCCAAAAACCCCCCCTCTACCCACCCGCCTGGCTCTTCGGCCCCGTCTGGACCGTCCTCTACGGCCTGATGGGCTTCGCCGCGCACCACGCCACCGTCACCGGCACCACCGTCTCGCCGCTGGCCTCCGCCTCCCTCCAGGAATGGACGGTCCACTCGCAGGGCCTCTACGCCTCGCAGCTGCTGCTCAACTACCTGTGGATGCCGCTGTTCTTCGGGCTGCGGAAGCCCGCCTGGGCGCTGGCCGACATGCTGCTGCTGGGCGGCAACGTCGCCGCCCTGATGCACTCGTGGTACCAGCACGACCGCCCCGCGTTCTGGATGCTCGTTCCCTATGCGGCGTGGCTGGGGTTCGCGACCTACTTGAATGCCGGCGTCGGGGTGTTGAATCGGTGGACGATTGGGGAGGCGGAGGAAGAGAAGGAGGAGTAGTCGGACTACCGACTTACTACTTACTACTTAGTATCTTGATAACACTCGGCCCTGACTCCCTTAATAAAGATTCCCGGGGGAGAACCCCCGGACCCCCCTTTCTTTCAGCTACCCAGTAACACTCAGTCCTGACCCCCATAAGAGATTCGGGGAGACCCCCGTACACCCCCCCTCAACAAATGCAATATCCATATAAAGATAAAGAACAACCGTTATCACCACGTGACCACCAACCCCAAACATCCCAATCCCCAGACATCTACAAGGCACCCCTCCCATTCCCATCTCAACCACAACCCGAACACCTCGAAACAACCCAAAAATGGCCCCATGGCGCCCCCCCAACCCGACGCCCCCGAATTCTACCCAGCCTACTGCTTCCGCGCCTCGCCAACCCACTTCACCTGGGTAAAGATGGCCGTCGCCGACGTGCGCCAGCTGCACCGCCGGCCCGAGTATCCAGGTACCGAACCCCCAACCCCAACCACCTAATCAACACACACTCCAATACTAATACTAACATGATGGGAACGGGAATAGAGGGAATATTCTTCCACAAGAACCACCCCATCCGCTTCATCGCCGTCGCAGGCCTCATCACCGCCCGCACCGAGTACCCGCGCGTGACCGTGCTCACCCTCGACGACAGCAGCGGCGCCGTCCTCGACGTCGTCGTCCAGAAGGCCGAGCCCGGCGCAGAGCCCGGAGCTCCGGCGGGAGCCGCAGCAGCAGCACCCGCTCCAGCGAAAGCATCCGCATCTGCATCCGCATCCGCAGTCCGCGCAACCACCCAAACCGAGCGGCCAGCGCAGCGACACATCGCCCTTACAACCTCCCACCCGCTGGATATCGAATCCCTCGTTCCGGGCGCCCTCGCGCACCTGAAAGGCACCCTGTCCAGCTACAGAAGAACGGTCCAGCTGCAGCTCGAGCGGTGCAGTGTGCTCGGCGGCGTGGACGCGGAGATGCGGTTTCTGGATCAGCGCAATCGGGTCCGCGCGGAGGTGCTTGGTGCGCCGTGGGTGCTCGGGGAGGAGGAGGTGGCGCGGTTGCGGCGCGAGATGGTTGCGGAGGAGGAGAGGGGGGAGGCGGAGGTGGCGAGGGGGAGGAGGCGGGCGAGGAGGAGGGGGGAGAGGGAGGAGCGGGACGCCCGGAAGATCTGGGAGAGGTGGGAGGTGGAGGAGGGGATGAGGGAGAGGGAGGCGGCTGTGGTGCGCGGGGCTGGGGTGGAGTTGATGCGGGTGCTGACGGGGAGGAGGCTGAAGAGGGCCGCGGGGGACGATGGGGACGGGGACGGGGATGGGGATGGGGATGGATCCAGGAAACGGGGGTGGGGAGAGTAGGATTGACTTTTTTTTCATCTTATGTATATAGATTTACACAGTGCCTTTAGGTGAGCCATGTATATATAAACTAAATCTTGATACCCTGCCTGAAATCAACGAATGTTATTGATACAATATGCCTCAAAACACTGACACGTGGCTAAGAATTTGATGCAATCCCTCCCAGAAGCAAAGGGGCAGTCGTAAACGTTATCATCATGTCGTAACAAGCATCAAATCCACAGCGCTATCGAAACAGAAAACACAGCGCACGCACAATGGATATCTTTTCCAAAGCAGACAGGCCAAAACTAGGCGCAACAAAGCATTAAATTTCAAATTCACCGGTACCCATATGTCTTGTAATCGTACCCGGTGCTGCCGGTGCCGCTGATCGGGTTGCTGCCATAATAGTCCTCGTCTGCACCCCAGCTGCTCCGCTTCTTCTCCTTGTCTCGCTCCCGGATCGCTTCGTAGAGTCTCTGATCCTCCGTCTCCGGGTCAAGGTCCTTGTACCGGCGACGGTCCTCAATGATGTCTCCCGGATGCGCGGGGTTGTTCGATCGGTAGTAATACTCCCCATCGGGATATCTGCTGTTTCCGCTGTGGGCCAAGAGATCACTCTCCGAATGACGATAGTCGGTACCGCCGTTGCCACCTCGCGGGCTGCGCGGCCGGGCGAATGCAGTTGCCGGGCGCTGTGACGAGGGAGTCCCCACGCGGTAATGAGGAGCGTCCTGGCTATAGGTGTCTGGCACGCGGGTGGCAGACAAGGTGGGACTGTCTCGTGGGCCAGAGCTTGTGGTGGAGCCCGCATGACGGTGCGGGCCAGAGCCTCCTTCGTCGTAGACCTTTCCGCCGCCGACGTGTGCTGTGTATGGCTTTCGCTGGCGCTCGATTGGTCGCGAAGGCACCTCCTTGTCCTCTTCATCGTCGACTACAGCAGCCGTTGAGGCGGTTGCTGATGTGGTATGGTATGGCTGACGCTCGCGCTCACTCAGCGACGCAGTAGAATCCACTGAGCTTACTGAAGCCTTGTGTGCAGCCTTCTTGTGACGTTGTTCCGCAACCAGTTTCAATTCCTCTTCAGAAATCGGAGGCAGGTCGACGCCGCAGTGTCGCATGATGAACTGGTCAACTTCTTCCCTTAGCGACAAGTTAGGAATTTCAGGGAACAGTCGTCGTGGAATCTCCTTCGGGAAGCGCTCTCTTCGATTGTCGGGATTATTGATAGGCATATTCAAAACGGCATTCTGGAAGCGCTCATACTCCTTCTCCGGGTGGGCCTGAATCATCAGAGTAGCCCATCGCTCGAACCCCCGCGGGGTTAAGCCTGGAATATCCGGTCTCTCGTTCAGCTTATTCTGCACGAGGTGATGTTCCGCCTCCACTTCGCGGAACAGTCTTGAAATAGAAGAGGTACGGTCATCGAATATGTCTGTGACTGAGTCAGCGCAGCTCAGAATCGGTAACACAACTCTACTGACCTTGCCAGGGATAAGGATCAGACGGTATATTGGTATCCTCGTAGAACTTCTGCAGTTTCTCAGGAGTAACAACCAGAGTGTTGCCAGGTGGATAGTCCTCGATCTATTGTTGTTTGACCAGTCAGCCTCACATGCCATGGATATTCGTTCAGCGAATGTGCTCACCAGATGAACCGCGACTCCACGTAGAAGCTGGCCCAGCCTCTCCGTTGGCTTGCCCTTCTCAAACAGTTTGCCCCAAATCTTCTCCAACGTGGTCATCTCCGTCACTGTAACCTCTCGCGATGGTGCCTTTGGTCGAGAAGATTCCACGCTATGGCTATGATCACTGAATTGACTCGCAGGTGAGCCGCGGCGGTCGGTCGAAGGTCCAGACGATGGGCTCGGGTAGAGATGGGGACTGGCTGGGCGCCCTGTGGGCGGCACGGGCGTCGGATAGTCACTAAGATCGGAGCCGACCTTGGGCGGAGGCGGTGGAGGAGCAGCTTGGGGGACCGTGGTGGGATATGTCGATTCTCCAAAGGCGGGGGTAACGGATTGCGGGGGAGGAGGAGCCCATTGCGGCGACGACACTGACGGGTGCTGTTGATCGCCGTGCAAACCGTCCAAGCCCGTTGCTTTCAGCTGTTGTATGACCGTCGCCGTGATCTGCGACACCACATCCGGAGACAAATATGCCGGTGTATCAGCCTGGCGGAAGGCCGAGTTGACAGCCTCATTGATTCTTCCGGCAGGCGGTTGTTGCTGGGGTTGTTGCTGGGGTTGCTGCTGGGGTTGTTGCTGGGGCTGCTGCCAAGCATTGGGGTCATATGGCGGTTTGTTATAATAGTTGCCCGGCGAGGAGGGTCGGGGAGGCACCTGGGGCTGAGGGATATTCGGCTGGTCAGTACCATATTGCGCTGGGTATTGCGCTGGGTATGGAGGAGTGTAAGCGGATGCGCGGTTCTCGTTGGCATTCAAATGGTTTGGGTGTGGATATTGGGGATATGAGCCGCCATTATTAGGGAAGCCGTTGTACGCCATCGGATCGGGGTAGTAGGTGAGAAGGCAAAGTCAAAAGATTGTTGCCCTGCGCTCTAGCACCGGCACAGGATGATCATCGAAGCTATTGTACTGGGATGAAACGCAGGGACCGC